GAACATGATGCCTAGATTCATTTCTCGATTCATTTTATTCAATATTTTCTGACAAAAACCAATTTAAAGAATCGAGCAAAAAATAATTAAGGAAACTGGTTCATCTATGTGAAATATTAAGAAAAGCCTTAGATTTTAAATGATAAACCTTCATTTGATTATTTTTGATTAGTGTAGAGCAGCGATTCAAAGTTCGTAGACCGCATGATTCTAAAATCAAAACTAAAAATACTAAATGTATTAAAGAGATTTTCAAAAATATAGGTCTAAAAAAAAATCGGGCTATTTATAAATTTATCATTTCGTGTTATTAACTACTTCTTCTTCTAATAGCTCCTAACAGCTTACACCATTACTGGTTAGGCTGACTCCAATAGCTACAAAAGTAAGGCGTCTCCAAGCTGCTTGGTCCGACGCCATCGCTAGTAATAGAAGCCATTCCTTTTTCCATCGTTTCCATTGTTTCCATCGTCCTAAGTCCATATATCGCTGGTCCCCCTAGATGTTCAAAATCTTTCCTGACTGTATCAGTCCAGGAGTTGACTGGTCCTCCTCGTTTTTGATACCAACCATCACAGGGTTTAGCAAGTAATAACGAAATATGCGTCAAATATACTTTTGGACGATGGAGAACGTACCCTAACCAGCGAAAACGACGGTCTGTGATAAAATTGTTAAAATTGTTAGCAGGTGGTATATGAACGAAGTTGGCTGCGATCATGTGCGATTTTATCCGCTCGATGGATCCGTAAAATGTACCTTAGATGTACATGATTGGTCAAGGGCTGATAGCTTCTTAATATCTTCCACTCTCATTGGCCATATTTCGCAGCCATATAGCAAGATCGAGCGAATTCCATCTATATGGATGCAATTATTAATAATAATAAATTTAATTTAGAATTAAATTTAGTAGATTTATCTATTTTGAACGATTTTATGAGCAAATATTTTAGAAATTTATTAGTTTCCTTTTTATTAATGCGGTGAACATCGATAAGTAACCAAAAATTTTTAATCACTGGGAACAAAATGTGAACATGAAATTAAGATGAAATTACGATGAAAACAGCCACTAATATTTTGATCCACTAATATTTTGAATATTTTTAGATACAAATGACTAATTAGAAAGAGTTATTTGAGATAGTAATGCTAATTCAAAGTGGAATAAAAAGATTAATCGCTGGCAATTCGCAATTAAAATAACCACGAACGAAAAATTACGGGAAGAATTAATAAAGAAAAATCTGATCGAAAATTTCCGTAATTAGCAGAAGATTGCGCTGAAAGTATGGCAATAAAATTGCTCGTGAATATAATTTAAAAGGTTTAATAAGAGAAATTTGTCATTTTGCTGGTGATTTTAGTTTCTTCTTCAAATCATCAATTCTGATTTGAATCCAACTATGATGAGATCGTTTCACTAAGAGAGTCGCTTAGAGTCTCGTAGAATTACAAGTGGGAAGCATTATGGGAAGTGGCTTAACGGCTTTAAAAATAACATGAAAGTGAAGGCGATAAGAGTTCGCTATTTTTTATCTTGGGAAACGAATATTTTGAGTCAAAAAAATAATAAAAAATTTATATAAGTTAGAAAATTTCACCCCATTTAACCCGCATCGGCATCTATAAGAAAAGATATTCGAAATATACTGGTGAATCCCAAACCCCAATCCCAAGCGACAGAAATCCTGTCATAAGATAAGACTTGCTTAAAACGCTGAAATCAATATAATAGAACCCAGAATAAACAAATGCAAAAAAATGGAGCAAGAGAATAAAACGAAATAAAGACTGGCTTGCCTTGAAATTACATTAATTTAAAGCAAAAAAAATTTTAGCATAAAATTTCAAATTTGTTCTCATTTTTTCATATCCTTCGTCTTCACTAAGAATTCATGGTAAATGATCATGAAAAAATAAAAGGATTTAGAAATTTCGCTGCCTTCCAGTTGATTGGTATCCTAGCAGAGATAACACGGAACTATATCAATTATTTTTTTGTTTTCTCATAGAGAATTATTGATGTAATAAACATAAGAAAAGAAATAATTAAAATAATTAACACAAGAAATAATTCAATTCAATTGCAGAAAATCAAGAGGAAAATAAATAATGGCAATAAGCTTCAAATAATCGGAAAGCACCAAAATTTTTATAAACTATTAGCCAAAAATAAAAGTTTATAGAAAAAAATTTTTTGCATAAATTTTTCTTTTTTTCCCAATTTTCTCAAAATTTCGAAATTATCAATCAGCAAATGAAAAAAATAAAATAAAATAGCCTATATTTCAATACGAAAATGATTGGAAAAGAAATCGATCAAAATGTCTTTGACATTTCATATTTGTTACAACCAAAAGTAAAAAATGTGCATCTGCCTTTCCCGATTTACAAATTAAATAAATGATATTTAATTAGATTTCTAACAGAAAATAAGGAAAAAAAATAACGAATATCACGGATATGCAGATAATAAATAAAAATCGGAAAGCACTCAATATTTCTGGATAATCGGTTATTAGCAATTTTTATCGAGAAGTCATTTGAGGATAAAAATTTGAGGAAAAAGTATAGGCTGCTCAGCTCGCCCGGTTTTTTTAAATGACCGAACCACAATGCTCGATATGGCAATTTAAGCCATTCGGCTATAAGATTGTGCAGATGAAAATAAAATTAAAAAATGATTTTAAAAAAGTCATATCAACTTTTTCTTTTTCATAAAATTTGTAGATCAAGACTAATAAAAAAATCCTAAATCGATATAAAATCAATGAAATAAATTTAAATAAAAAAGTATGGGTTTATTCGTTGTGTATTTTATTCTTTTATTAATAAAAGTCCATCGTATTAACGAAAAAAAATAAAAAAAGGATATTTTATAAATAAAAGGCTTAGATTATTTATTTATTTTCCATAATTAAGATAAAACACCAGGATGAACCATGAGAATTAGAATTATTACAACATTTTTTCGGCATAATTAAATTCAAAAACAAAAACGTGGATGGTTGCGACTACGCTTTTTTCACGGGGATATTTCAGCTAAATGATTATCTAAGCAATAACCACGCAAATAGGCAGATTACCATGTACTTATATGCTTATTATTTTTACCTATACTCTATAGCTATTCATAATAACTGGCTAAATGAGTAATAAACTCGAAAAATTTTGGACTAAAATAAAAAGCAACCGCAAATTTCAACAATTATTTCTTTTTTGTTCCTTCGCTAGCGACTGTCGCAACAACTGTTAGAAATTCATAAGTTATTTTGCACAAAATTTATTTCTAGCTAAAAAATGAGCAGTAGCATTAAAAAATCCTAAACAAACAGGGAATAACTATGGAAATAGACCAAATCTTCATTCCTATCCAGCAGAATCTTATTCATTAAATAAGCCTTGTCGTTCACAATACTAAATGGTAAAAATGGCAAAAAAATAATAATAATAATAATGGTATTAATGGTAATGGTTGTGATAAATGGGTCATTATCAATTTTAATCAATAAAAAAGAAAATTAAATTAAAAAATTTAAAGAAAAATAAAGCGAGCAGATAAAACAAAAATAATCAGCTTCGAACCGGCTAAATGAACTCTATGAAACCAATATCAAACTTCTATTTTTAATATTAATTATTCCAAGAATATGGAATAATGGAATTTTTCTTTTCCGAAATCTGAAATTTGGATTTTGACAATTCTGAAAAATAGACCAATGCCAATTTATTGTAAAGATATACATTATATGTAATAAACTACACAGCTGGTGAACATATTCTTCTTAATGTAAACCAAAATATTTTAGTGGGAAAGTCTTTACATAAATAAATAAATTTTTTAAAGAATCGCCAAATGTTGCATTTGCTAAAATTTTATAAACTACTAATTCTGCAATAATAAATAACAAAGGTGCTAACTTTAATAAATAAGAATTAGGAAAACGATAAACGATTAATAACAAAATCACGATCGTCACAGTGACAGTTGTGCCTCATCGATTAAATTAAATCGAGACAATTATCAAAAATAAACATTGATTCCAACTAGAAAATTGTGTGAAGATTAGACTGGATTTAGCCAATAGCCATTATCACCAATAAAATTTCCCCATTCATAAATGAAGCTTTATGAAGATTTAACTTTGATCGAAAAAACCTTAGATTTCAAATCTCATTCTAGCCATTTCATAAATAACAATTAGCAAGCTGATAAATTAATAATGAATTTAAAAAATCATTTAATATTTAAAAATTTAAAATTCATATAATTAAAACAAACGGTGAGATTGCTGCACGTGCAATAAATTTATCTTATTCTATAGCACCACTTTTGGTTTAACCACTAGCCTACTTCATCAAAGTGCGAGTTACTAGGTACAGGTACAGGTACAGTAGGTCTGAAGTCTGCTTGGAATAAAATTTTAATTTTAATAATACTCTTCAAAGGACAAGCATCAAATTCTCGAGACTGAACATAGTCAACACATCATTAGTAGTAACAAAACACTCGATGAAATTATAAAATAATCGAATAAAATAGAAATATGAGCAATAAAAATAAAAAGTGAATGACGCAGAATTTGCTCCAAGACAAACGAAAATATCAAGTACCAAGGTAATATTCAGTTTTATCAGAAAATCTATATAAATATACAAGGAATTTTAAAAAAATAGTACTAAATTATGGAAGGATGGATGGATAACTTACGAGAACAAATAGTAATTCCTCCTAAAATTATAAATACAAATAATATAAAATAAAAGCAAATAATTGAGAGCTTTTTATCTTGAAAAGTTGAAAAATTAAAAATTTTATGAAAACTTGGGATGAAAAGCGATTTAAAAAATTAAGGAATTCATCATTTCTCATTTTAAAAAATTCTCATTTTAAATTTTAAAAATTTTAACCATTATATTATAATATGTATTTGTGCCAAATAACCTCTGCTTTTATTGCTAAAAATTTATACGTGGGCCAGTTTCATTTTAAAATGAAGGTAATATCGAACGAAAATTATGTCATTATTTATTATCTTCGACTTGAAGAAAAGTCCTTAAAAGACCTTAAGGCCAAAATATTGAACTACCAGAAGAGTGAATATAAATGGAGAATAAAAAATGAAAATAAAAAAGTTTTTAAAAAATACACTGGTCGCAAGGAACATATAAGTTATTCGCATTATTTTTTATAAAATTACGTTTATACATAATTGTCGCGATATATAGATTCGTCGTTCTCGTCTTTATCGAAAAATCTTCAAACCAATTTCGATACAACTATCGTTATCATATCGCGTATTTTAATATGCTTTCCAAATACGTTAATGATCCTTCCGCAGGTTCACCTACGGAAACCTTGTTACGACTTTTGCCCGGTTCAAGCCACTGCGATTAAGGCGATTTCCACCAGAGTATTTCCACCGCAAATATTCGGCTTCAATACAGCAGTCTCCGCTTTTCTCGAAACGGCTCAGTCCCGGGCAGCGACGGGCGGTGTGTACAAAGGGCAGGGACGTAATCAGCGTGAGCTGATGACTCACACTTACTAGGGATTCCTCGTTCAAGGGAAATAATTGCAATTCCCTATCCCGAGCACGGAGGATTTTCAACGGGTTACCAATGCCTTTCGACAATGGACATAGCACGTTGATTCCTCCAGTGTAGCGCGCGTGCAGCCCTGGACATCTAAGGGCATCACAGACCTGTTATTGCTCAACTTCATGCGGCTGAACACCGCTTGTCCCTCTAAGAAGTCGCACAAACATTTCACGAGTTATTTGCCGACTATTTAGTAGGCTAGAGTCTCGCTCGTTATCGGAATAAACCAGACAAATCACTCCACCAACTAAGAACGGCCATGCACCACCAACCACCGAATCAAGAAAGAGCTCTCAATCTGTCAATCCTCACGGTGTCCGGGCCAGGTGAGTTTTCCCGTGTTGAGTCAAATTAAGCCGCAGGCTCCACCCCTGGTGGTGCCCTTCCGTCAATTTCTTTAAGTTTCAGCTTTGCAACCATACTTCCCCCGGAACCGAAAAACTTTCGTTTCCGGTAAGCTGCCCGTCAAGGCGTAATTACCACTGACGGAACGCTAGTTGGTATCGTTTACGGTCAGAACTAGGGCGGTATCTGATCGCCTTCGAACCTCTGACTTTCGTTCTTGATTAATGAAGACATTCTTGGCAAATGCTTTCGCAGTGGGACGTCTCGCTACGGTCCAAGAATTTCACCTCTCACGCAGCGGTACGAATGCCCCCGTCTGTCCCTCTTAACCATTATCTCAGATCAGAAAACCAACAAAATAGAACCGAGATCCTATTCTATTATTCCATGCACGAATATTCAGGCTTTTAAGCCCGCATTAAGCACTCTAATTTTTTCAAGGTAAACTCGCTAGCCACCTTACGCGACCGATCAAGGTAACGCAAGGAAAACATAGATTAGCCTACGATCATAGTTCACATCCAATAAATGGACCATGTCGTCAAGCTGGATTCCAACTACGAGCTTTTTAACCGCAGCAATAACGATATACACTTTGAGAGCTGGAGTTACCGCGGCTGCTGGCACCAGGCTTGCCCTCTCATAGGTCCTCGTTAACAGGTTTAAATTGTACCCATTCCGATAACCGGCCTCAATGAGAACGGTCTCGTTATTTTTCGTCACTACCTCCTCTTGCTGAGAGTGAGTAATTTGCGCGCCTGCTGCCTTCCTTGGATTCGTATTTACTTTAGTTCAGAGAGGGGATGGAATGGTTCAGTAGGTCGTTGCTCAGTTCGGAGCGCCAATGAGGTTCTATTCTTTCCAAAAATCCGGATTAAACTGGCGACTCACCTGTAGTTGGACGCCTGGCATATTTGTCCAGTGCGACAAGCCAGCTGAGCGAGTTCAACCAGTAACCAGAGAACTCTTTAAAAGAACTTTAGTTCAGATAAAATAATGCAAAATTTTCTAGGAATAACGGCTTATATGGGTATAGACCAGAGCTCAGAGATGCAATAAGGATTAGGAAGATCCGCCGAAGGGAGTATAGTATAAGTTTAGTTTTCTTCCTTGTGGATGATTTCATCATTAAAAATTAGAGTGGTTATCTATGGTTATCCAGAAAAGAGCAATCGTTGGCAAAAGGGTGTAGCGTTCAGTACAATCAAGGCTAAACTAGAATGGCAAATATTGTCAAAAGAAGATAAGACTAAGGCTGATGAAAAAGAAGCGCCGTCTTTTTGAACTTGAGCTTAAATAAGTATGACATATTATGAAATACTCTCAACTTTGCAGTATGAAGGATATAAATATAAATGAATGTATCGTAATGGGTTACAATGAATGTATCGTAATGGATTACAGGTTTACATTGGTTTTCATCCGGAAATTTCATTAATCAGTGGCCTTTAACAATGATGTGTCGGAATTTTTCAGAAAATTGGATTTATAAATAAGAACTAATAAACAGGAACAAAATCTCACTGAAAGCGTTATCTGGTCATCGCAAACTCATTATTAAAATGAGCTTTGTAATTTGATTACCATTGAATTCTTAATAATTTTTCTGATTATTTACTTTCGAAATCACTCAAATTCACTGAGATCTATCACTGAAAATTAATTGACATCGAAGTGCGATGACCAGATAAGTAAACAATTAGTGGTCAACCTTCCTGATTAGATTTGCTTATTACTAGAAATATTGCCAGGTGCTATGCCGTCTGAATTATTTTAATTATTTTAATAGCATGTTCAATCCTGTAGGAAACAATAGCCGAATTCTTGTCTCTGAATATGATAGGTGCTAGATATGTAAGTTCAAATCAAAATCGAAAGTTTAACATGGCTTAGCAAGTTTAACATTCATTATTGATTCTTTTTTGGAATAACTGATGATCCGAATAACTAATGTGTTAAGTATTTTAAAGAAATAAGGAACCTACTCAGTAAATGAGTGGAAAATGTTCGATGACATAAAAGCACTAAAAATTGGAAGAGAAAGATAATGGGAGCAAAAAAAACAAAATTGAACACAAGTAGTAGCCATAATGCAATTAGCTATTTGAGTGATTTATCCATCGAGATCCGAAATTTCTTCGAAATCATTTCCTAACATTTGCTTTCTAAAATTTCTACGATATGCTTACTTATTTTCTCTTACACACTGGCAATTATCCTCTTCTCTTCAGATTTTTGGCAAGGTTGGAGGCAGAGAAAAGTGTAAAAAATACGGCAAATGTGAATAACCAATTTGTACCTATTAGTACTTATGAATGGTATAGTTAGTAAAAGGGAATGGGGACTAGAATGTCTCAGTGGGTTGTTGCGCCCGATGCTGAAGTTCTATTCCCCGCAGGATTAAACCTGTGCAAAAGTCGGGGTGATGCTGGCGGCTCATCTATATTTCTATCGCCGAGGGACTCGGTGGCATATTTCTCCAGTGCGACAAGCCAGGAGGAGCAAGTTTAACGAGTAATAGTGAAGACACTTAAAAAAAAAGTTATATCTATGAATAACACAATTAGTTGTGAAAAAAAAAATGAATTTTAAATGAATGAATTTTCATTTAATAATGAAATTCGTTTGCATAAGACTGATTAATATAATAATAATAACTATAATCGTCATTCATAAAAATTCTACCCATGTCAGCGTAGCCAATAATGATGCGAACTGTTAGAAGAAGTGAATCGACTATCACGAAAATTATCGCTGCGGTTTGTATTTTACAGATTTACCTACAGTCAGTTTGCTATAAAACTTATTGCAAATAATCTTTAATCAAATGAGAAATTTCATTGTTCGAATTTAGATTCGAATCTTTTAACGCCTATATTTCAATGTTCAATACTCTTGAGAATAGGAGATAGTGAATTGCTGCAGCAGTCGAAAAAAAAGAAAAGATGTATTAAAAATAAGGCATCTATATCATTTAATTCCACTTACATTCAGAAAATGTATGGTCAAAATGGTGCGCATCCACTGTTCGATGCTTTTAAAAAATATCCAATTTGATGCTCAGTTAAGTCCTTTTATTAATTATTTCTAAACAACGCAGTAAAATGAATAATTTAAGTACAATTTTACCTTAATTATCCTTTAAAAGGAATGAAGAAGCAAATAAATGAAAAAAATGAAAAAAATTGTTCATTGCTCTTGAGGGTTCATCTCAAATTTTTGATTTGAAATAAACTATTAGTTTTCTAACAAATGGATTGATTTCGATAAAAGCAATAAAAAGAGCCATTGGCCTGTTTGGTGAAGAAAGCTGTATGCTGTGCTTCATGTAAATGCTAACTTATTATATGACAGTAGTTAAGGTGAGAATGATGGCACAAGAGTTAATCAACATTGTTGATGTAAAAGTGAAAACTATCAGCCAAAAATTCACCAAACATTTTTATATATGCTCGCCAGTTTAAGAATTACCACAATATATCGTTTTAAATATTATCGCCATAATTTATCACTACTAAAGTAATTTAATTTAGTAATTTAGCAATTCCATGGAAGCAATTTTAAGAAATCTATTTTTATTTTCCTTTTACTCCTTTTAGAAGAAATTAATCTAATAATAATTATAGTAAATGAAAATTATGATGACATACTATACTAAGTTATGTTGTAATTATTGCTACATTTATGTTGTAATTATTTGCAAAATTTGAAGAAATTATAAATCAAAATTAAGCTGTTCATTTGTTGTAAAAATTTGAATTAAACTGTTGTAAAACTGGCAACTTTAAAAGGCTAACTAGTTGTTTCGATGGACTCTCAGCTCGATATCGACTTTTATTCCCCGTGTAATGAGCTTTTTCTTGACCTGGACGATCGATAACTGTCACACGTTTCGTTTGCTCAGCACTGCTTAGTGAAGAGTTGCCATAGACGATTTTCTGTAATTAAAAATAATTGTTAATCTGCATAAATGAATTAGTTGATATAAAGATCTTAGCGATCTTTTTATTCCCACCGGTTTATTTTTGTTTCGCAAAATTAGTTAAATTATCAAAATTTAAAAGAAAGAAACTATTAAATAAAAATTCTATGCAGAATTTTAATCAGAATCTATTGAGCTAATAACTAATAACAAATAAATATTTTCATTTACCTAAAATTTTCATCACTGTTTTTTTTTACAATGAAACGATGACAGAAAGTATTATACGAATATATCCATTAGTAGAAGATTTCAGATAAGCCAAAAGGTTCATGAATCTTATATATATACATATATATATATATAAAATCATAATTGGCTTAAATTCTTCTAAAATTTTATTATGTTCTGGGCAATATTCTGGGCAGTTAAACTATAAAAAGCGCAGTTAATAAATTTATTGTCCCTAAGAGTTTCCAATTATTTGCACTCCAATATACATATATGATAAATTAAAAAATATTTTAATTTCAATATTTAATTTAATATATAATCGAAGAAATTCCAATAAAATTCTGCAAATTCTTTTATTTGAACTTTTAAGTAAGTCTTTTCAACCCATATTACTGCATTAAACTGTTATTACAATGATACTATTAAAGAATCCAAAGCGCAATTCAAGACAAAGAGAATGCCAGAAATTTGTAGATTTTCAAATTCCACAAATTATATTAAATTCTCCATGCTTGGTTTAGGCAAAAAACCGTGCAAGCCTGTGAACTGCAAGAATTGTCAGGATAAAATTGATCATAACATCGCCCTCTTTTAATTAATTAATCCTCAGCTTCGATATTTGAACTGTTAACGCCAAAGCTCAATCTAATATTTTAAAAAACCTCAGAAAATTTTCATAAAATAGGAAACGGGAATGATAATAAGAAGAATGATGAAAAAAAAAGATCCATCATGCGATACGCATCAGCAATATTTACATTATATATATCAACAACACAGAAGTATGGAAATACTCAATTACGATGAAAATACATTAGAACACATATAAATATAGATAAATATATTAGATTTCTTTCCGACAACACTTAGATGAATTCGCGGACATAAAAATATTTCAATGCAAGAAATGCATTCAATTTGATATAACTGGAAAAAGCATCATCCATATTTTAGTCAATGTTGTTGAATTTTCCAACATTGCCGTTCCTTGGCATTATGAATCTCGTTCAATGAATCGTTTTTATTGTCCATTTGTAAATTTGTAAATTATATCGTTTCTTCATTTTATAAATAAGAAAATTTGAAACGTTAAAGTATTTCCCGAAAAAAAAATTATTTGGTAGGCTTACTATGAAATTTCATTTTCCAAAAGCAGAACCATTCGAGTATAAATTGTTCTATTCTAACACATGCTAATAGTAAATTCGAATAGATGAAACAACCTCAGATAGAGATGAGGGCCAAAAATGCTCATATTCATTTGCACCATTACAAGGCATAGATCGTCTTGGCGAACCACCGTAGTGAATTGTGCGATTTAGAATACCAGCAAGTGAAAAATGCCTTTTAGTATTACGCCACGATTTTAATAGTTTTCGTCTCGGTGATGATGATGTTTCACATGATTTACTAGCAGAAAATGTTGCTGAATTTCCATTGCAACAATTAACATAAAGTTGCGAGATAGCAGCTGTATCCGAATAATTCTGTGATATTCGTCGCAGTAACGACGAGTCAGACATGAAGATTTCAATATTTCACGGCATAAAAAAACTCAGAATGATTTATTTGTCACGTACATTTGGCTGAAAAAAAAGTCATTTCGTTATATATGTGGAGTCAAAATTTATTAGTATTTCAGCAATAAGTATTCAACGTAAATATATGAGTAGATGTAATTTAAAAACTGATCATAAAACGATTCAATGGAATAATATTATAATTTAATATAAATTAAATAATAATAATTAAAGATAAATAATAATAATAAAAAATAATAATCAAAGATGATTTGCAGAAAAATTTATCAATTATACGAGACATCAAAATAGAAAGAAAATATGTAAGAATATTGTTTATAGAAAATGGATGTCACAAAATCAAACGATCAGAAAAAACCAAATTCCCAGAATAAAAGTGAAAAAGTTTCGAGAAACTGCGAAATAGTTTTGAAAAGAGATCCTAGAGTAATAGAGCAATATTCTGCATGGATAACCATCACTTTTCAAAATACTCGTTTTAAACAGATAGCAAATCCTTTTTTATTAAAATTCAGCCATTTTACAAATTTAACAGCATCTATGCATGATTATTATTATTATTTCAGCCACAAATATAGCATTTAATGTTAAGGAAAATCCATATCCATACTCACCAATTCGATCAAAATTTTAACTTTCGGTAATGAATGAATCAGCCACAGAGGAAATTAAAAATATCATCGTTTATGAAAAACTTTTATAGCAAATCTTTAGAAATTTAGAAATGCTTTTGATGATGAATATCCATTTTCAAAACTAAAATCGAATTGCTTATTGAAAATAGATAACTTTATTAAAGAATGGATGAAACAATATTTCGCGGAAAAATTATTAAAAAAAGTTATTAAAAGTTATATTATTAAAAGTTATATTTTTTTTCTTCTTCTTCTAACAGCTCTCACCATTACTGGTTAGGCTGGCTCCAACGGCTACAAGAGTAAGATGTTTCCAAACGGCGCGGTCTGATACCATCGTCGACAGTAATAGAAGCCATTCCTTTTTCCATCTCTAAGTTCATATATTGCTGGTCCACCTATACGTTCAAAACCTTTTTTGATCGTATCAGTCCAGGTTTTAATTGGCCCACCTCGCTTCTGACGCCATCCATCACACGGTTTAGCAAATAACGAAATATGCGACAACTCTTGTGGTGGACGACAGAGAACGTGCCCTAACCACCGAAAGCAGCGCTCTATGATAACATTATTTATGCAAGTGGTATTTGAACGAAGATGGATGCAATCTTGTGATATCTTATACGCTCGACGGATCCGTAATATGTACCTTAGACAAGAGTGGTCAAAGACAGATAACTTCTTAATATCCTCCACTTTCATTGGCCATGTCTTAGAGCCATATAGCAAGATCGAACGAATCACGGTTATATATAGAGTCATGCGGACTTTTGTTTTAATGGTAATTTCACGACGGCTCCATAAAGGTTTTGTCAATCGGAAGAACGCATTTCTAACTGCCGTGATATAATATCGTCTTTTGCTTGGCCATTTGGTATTAGAGACCCAAGGTATTTAAAATCGGGCACTTCCTAGACCGGCAATGAATTTACAAAAAGAGACAGTTTATCAGCTTCTTATACATGAGACGAAAAGGCTTTCGTTTTGTATGCATTGACCCTATTCTTCCTGCAGTTTCTGACACGTTATATAGCATTAAAAAAAGTTATATATTATAAATCATTTAGAAGTGCTATATATAATGTATTAAGTATATAAAATTATGCAAAAAAATTATATACTATTATAAAAAGGAGTTTGAAATCCATCCTGAAATTTGAATTGACAAAAATCTATCAAAATTCGGCCAAAAACGACAAAAAAATCAATTTGGAAATTTAAAAAAAAGTTTAGAAAAAATTTAGAGAAGATTATAGTTTAGAAATCTTGATAGTACAAATTCTTATATGTATAACGACATTGTACATTAAACTAAATTTTGCTACTTCTGAGGAAAATTGTATACAAAAAATAGAAGACTTTTAAGAAAATCTTATAATATTTCGAGTAAAATTTAAAATTTCATTCGCTTATGATTGGATTTATAAAGCTATGATGAATATTTCGCGATGAGAAGAAAAGTTAATCGCAGAAACGGAAAATAAACAAAGAAAGGCTTAAAGTAAAAAATTATGAGATCTCTTATATGTTTCTCATTATAAAATTTTAAAACTACATAGTTAGAAGCTGAAAAATTAGCCACGAAATTAGGAAAACTCTTAATTCTTAATTAATCATTAAAATGGAAAAAAATGAATTTTTTTATTGAAATAAAGTGATCTTAAGCGAATAATTTCAGTTCTTAGCAATAAAATCCAAAGCTAATTAACGCTACACGCCATCCTAAAGACACTGCACAGACGATTTAACAATTAGAGGAATTCAACAAAACTTTTAATCTGCTAGTAGGTTTGATGGCAAAGCATTATATATGCAAAAGAAGCAGAAAAATATACCGAAAGAAAAAATTTATTTTTTATTTATACGCAACAAGAACTTTTCAAAGATATAAATTTTGGATATATTTAGAAATAAAAATAAATTCGAATTCCAGTAGCTGATTGTACGTTTTGAATTCTTTTCCATTTTTCATATAAAGTAGTAACAAATTTTCGAAGGATTAAATGAGACCAATTCGTCGATTCTTAATTTTTACTCTAAAAATTTGCATGCATCTAAATTTAAAATTTTTCACATTTATTCATACACGCATTTTAGATAAAAAATTTTAGATAAAAAAACACGACCAAGTTGTGAATATTTTTTTTTAACTAAGTGAAATCTTGAAAACTCTCATGTTCAATGGGATTTATCATTACGATTCATAATTTTTTATAATAACTTCAACAATAATAAATTTTAATTAACGATGAATTTTAAAATTATTGATGAGCAAATGCAAAAAATTTATATTTCGAATTCTATTAACAATTTTTCAAATTCTAAGGTACCATTCTTTATATTTGAACACGTAGTAACAATAGCAACTCATCCCAGTAATGGCTCCGTTGAAGCATTTCCAGTGCTAGAAGATGCATGATGCAAAATGAAATATTATCTATCAACAATTTTCATATGAATGATTTCAAGTGATGATAATGATGAGAACTGGAGATAACAGAGCAATAATAATATAGAACAAATAATAATGAAAGCAGTATGATATTATTGATGGTGGCAATAAACATAGCAAAGATAATTTATGAAATAATAGTTAATAATAGTAAATAATAAAAATAATAATGATAATAATGATGACATTAATAGTAATATGTAATAAGCAATAAAAATACTAATGTTAATATTAATAATAATTAATATTAATAATATGTATAACAGTGGTAACAGTGGTAATAATAATTAATAATATAATAATAATAAATAGTAAGGAATAAACTCAATCCAACCACAATAGTATTTGTAAATAATAAATTTTTAATGATGGGCTTTAGGCAAGAAAATTCTTCCATATTCCATATTGAACATTGTAATTATACCATATTTACTTTAACTCAATATTTATTTGCAAAAAAAAACATAATAATAGGCAAATCTGAAAAATGAATGATAAATGACCATAAATAAAAAAGCAAATTTAAACAAATAAATAAAATAAATTTGCTAGCAAAATTTTTTGTTGGCATATTTTGTAAGTTAAGTAGAATTTTCTCTCAGACATGAAATTAGTTAAATTAACCTATTTTAAATAACCACTCAAATTCTCAATATTATAAAGGTTACTTAATGAAAAAATAAATATTAATGAATCATGGATGAGACTAAAGGAACGAGAAGGAGAAATTAGCGGTGAAAAATACAACTCCTTATAATATTAAGTTAGTCAGTTTAATTCAGTTTATATATTATCCAAAACATCAGGTTAACATCAGTTATGAATTTTCAAGCTAAAATTAGCAAATTAGTTATGAATTTAAATATTCCATGGAAATTTAACTAAAAGTATATCTATACATGGCTCTGATTACAGATAGTATGTTAAAAACTTGTTCTATTTTTAATTAGATATAAAATTTTTTGAATTGATTTCTCAGTTGAATACACTTAAAAAATTATGAAGAGAAAAGAGAGAAGGACAATTGCTACTTAAAATTTCGGCTAAAAAAAATAATTTACAATATTTATTAATCAAAAGCAGTACAAGGAAAAGACTAAAATTAAAGCCGATTTTACTAAATATCACAACGAAATAAATAGCAAATAAATAAAATGAAAAGAATAAATAGGATAATCATGGCCCGAAATTTATGCAAAACCTATTGGTTTAAACCCATTATTTTTAAATAATGTTTAAAAATTCCCGACTTATTAAAATGGATAGGATTTAACTGCAAAATTTTAAAGCAAATTTAGTGATCAATAGAAAAAAACCTAGCTTAACAATAGCAATAAACTTCAAGAACAAAGTATTACTGGCGGCCAAAAATGAATTTCTGTCTTGAATTTTGTCATGATCATTGAACTTCTGTCATGAATTTCTGCCAAAATTCGGTCTTATCTTTAGGGAATCCCTTAATTCATTTCCAACGACCGTTGACATCAACGACAGGAAAAGATTGAACCTATGACATAGAAGAAAGATAAACCAAGCCATATTACTCCTACATTAATTACTGATATAAAGATATATTTCCAGTGATAAGGTCGAAATCGTTGTCGAATGTTATCGATCAACTAGAGTTAAAGAAATTAAATATAGTGGAAGCTAATCGAGTGAGACAATCGAAATATTTAAATGCCAGTGATACAACCTTTTAGTTATGAAGGTTGGTCAAGTATTATTTCACTTTTAGTCAGCGAGCCCCAATAAAAAAAATGAAAATATTTTTCACTTTAATTCTTTTTATCTTATCTAATTAGTAATAATTATTAAGTAATAATAATTATTTTTATTTATTTATTTTTTTATTTAATTTTTTTATCATTCGTTTTCATGCTTTAATTTATTTT